CTGCTTTCCCCTGCCCCATCCCAGGACAGCGTGCCCCCGCCGGTGGGACGCCCACCCGCTCCCTGGGGGGAAAAAGAAGGAAACAGCTTGGAGGTTCCTGCAGTTTTAGCTCCCACCCGGCTTCCTCTCCCACGGTACGCAGGCGCACACGCTGCTGCTGGCACATGCATGTATGCAACGGGTGCTGCACACGCATGTACTTACAAGCATGTGTGTGCAGACAGAAGCACAGGGATGCATTTATCCCTGCCGACATGCATACATATGCATGCACACATGTGCTTGTATGCACCCATGCACACACGCAGCCCCCTCCAGACGGGACATGAGCGCCTTGTAGGGCCGCAGGGCTGTCCGACCCCGTCCCGTGTGCGAGCCACCGTGGGGAGGCACAGGCAGCCCCAGCTCCAGCTGAAAGCGGGGGTCCAGAGGCGCCTGGACCCTGCAGGCGGAGCTCAGCTGCAGGCCCCCAGGCCCGGTGCATGGGCACCACGGAGCCGGGGGCTGCTGACATTCATCGGGCAGCAATGTGGCATCTCCCACCTGCACGGTGTCCCGAGCATCGATCCTCGCTGTCTGGCTGGATTACGGCCGTCCCTTTGAGCAGTATAACCTTCCCGTAACATGAGGGGCTGTGTTTGCTTTTGCTGAAAACCACCGTGCCATGGAGGGCAGCATGCAGTTAGGTTTCTGGTTCTCTATTACTTGACCTCTTAATGTTTAACTAAATAGCAACACAGCTATGGCTCAGGGCAGCTGGAGGGAAAGCAGTCGGGGCGGAGGGGGAAGCCCCGCACAGCCCCAGCACAGTGCAACACCCCCAGCCCTGCACACCCCCACATTTTCACCCTTTTCTATTTCCCCCTGCCCTCTCTCTTGCTAGCAGGTAGGAAAACTGACATAAACTCTCCCCACCACTAAACTTCCTACTCTGTGTGTCAAGTGTATGTTTTCTTTCGAACCGCCAGCAACTTCACTTTCACCCAGCCTCCTCACCGCTCTGATGCCAAACGGGTCCCGTCAGCCCGCGGCACAGCACAGGGATGATGAAGGCAACGCGTCTGCAGCCCGGCACAGCGCCAGGAGCGCTTCCCTCTTCCCAGTCCCTTCTCATGGGAGCTCAAGGTGGTAGGGAGGAGCTGGAGGAAGAACCGCCATGCACAAGCCTGCCCCGGGGGCAATCCTTGGGGTGATTTGTGCAGCTGACCCACCAGCAGCGGGGCAGAGGGGAGCGCAGAGGAGCCCAGACCCGCTGCTGCTGCTGCATGGAGTCTCTGCTGGCTTGTAAGGGCTGAGCCCCACACTCCTTCCCACTCCCCTGTCCGTTTCCATCACACCAGGGATGCCGCTGGTTTTCTGATCCCTCTACCTCTGCCAATACCAGCTGAAGCTGGGTGCGTGAAGGGGGACTGGGCTCACAGCGGGTTTGGGGAAAACTTGGCTAAACACAATGCTCTGGGCTTTCCCGGGGACTGGCACGTCCCCTGCCCCAGATCCTGTCCCCGGCAGCATGTGCCATTAGGGAGGCTCCTCTCCAGTCTCCCGCAGTCACCAGTAACCGCAGCATCCCGGTACTTCCAGGAGCATCAGCCCAGGACCTCCAGCACCTCTGTGCCCCCTTGCCAAGGCACTGCGTTTGCTCTCTGCAAGGGAGACTCTCCTTGCCAGAGTCAGCACGGGGCCGGCACCTTGCGCACGCGTTGCCGTTGCCAAGGTGCGCGCAGCAATGTGCGTGCACTCACAGCAAGTGCTCAAGGCCAGTGCGTACCTTGAGGCAGAAATGGGGACTTTAGGACCAGGGATGTTTCTGCCCCCCAGCCACAGATGCTTGCGCAAAGCTCGCGCTCCAGCTCAGTTTCACGGTTCACCAGGGCCAGCACGTGCTGTTCCTGGGCCTGGAGACCAGCCGCACACCGCAAACCCCGTCACGCCGAGCCCGGCCCTGCTGCGGGGCGTCTCACCCCCCAGCCCACCTCCTCCCAACCGGCCGACCGGGAGAAGATGCCGCCGCGGGGAGTTCAGTACCCAGCACCAGCTGCCCAGCACCTTGTGAGCTGGTAAACAGCCTCCGGCATGGCTGCTCCCC